AAGAAACTTAATGGCGACTTCCGGTACAACCGGAAGTGCTAGAAGAATGTAAATATTTAAAAAATGAAGAATGCTTTGCATAACCCATTATTCCAAGTTTGCAGAAACCAGTGAGGACCAGAAGTTTGAAAACTTTTAACCTACATGTTGCGTGAATGACCCTGTATATTTCATACTCAATATTTATCAATTTACATTATGATATTCAATTATTATAAAACATAATACAAAGTTATTTTATTAAAAAAAACCCTAATGTGTTATTATCAAATTAAGAAAACCGTACATTTTAATCTGAGAACCGCTGACTACCTGGGGCCAATCTGAACAGACACTTTTATTACTTATGCGACAGGCTAAAACGATCCTACTTTATCAACCATTCTGTAATAAATTTTCTCTTTGGTTTTCTTTTATTCTCAAACGATTTGGTTTATCAAATGATTTCGTGGAAAAAGATATAAAAGGAAAGTTCTATGTTGAAGGAAAGGTATTTTTCTTTTGCCAGAGATATTCAATGATTATTATCATTAACTTTACCATAACGAAAAACAGCTAAAACAGCTCAGGTGGTCAAAAAAAAATAAGATGGGGTGGTGCTGAGCTGATGATACATAGGAACGTTACAAACAGACTGGTTGCTCAGAATCGGAAGCGTTATCGGGGTGGGTAAGGATGTGACTAATAAAAAACTATTAGATGGATAACAGAGAGATAATACATAGATAATATAAATATATAACAGTTTGACAAAAGCAAAATAAGAAATATTAAATTTAAGTACTACACAATGGAGCGCGGCAATAAATCCTAACTTGAAATTTATAAAAGATTTAAAATTGTCATAAAACGTATTAAAGAATTCATAAAAGAGATTGCTAAAATGGACATGCTTTCCTATATAATGCAAAAAAGGTATACTCTTTATAAAATACTGCAAAAAAAGTTAATCGTCGATAAAATAATGCAAACAACTCATATCGTCCATAAAATAATAAACTTAAAAAAAACGTTTATTTAATACTCAAAAAATGTAACGGCACATATTAAAATCAATTAACTTATTGCTAAGTAGATTGTGGCCCTTAAAAAATCGAAATAAAAGATCATCAAGATCAGCAATCCGCCGTGCTTTGAAACATGTATTGAAAAATAAGAAAAATAAGTAATTCTATAGATTATGTTTAAATTAATGGGCCTAAAAAAGTTAAACTTGCCATAACCGTGGGTTTTTCACTAGGAAACTGAGAGAAATAAGGTATTTAATTGACATCAGCGGCATTGGGATATCAAACTAAGGAATGAGCTCAAATCGGAGATTCACTTCTTGTTATTACAGATCGCCAGACTAATTAGGGATTTGAGTGGCAGAACAGACATTCTTATTAGGTACTTGGTGCGGTATACTGAGTTAGACATAATTAAAAACAGTCTACGAAATGTTATATGTACAGTTATAACCAAAATTTTAAAAAGCTAGAATAATAAAATGCTACAAGTTTTAGTCTATAAAGCTACTCCTTGACAGAGGCATGGTTAAAAAGACATGAAACATGAAATATACCTATTGGAATAACTTTCTACAGGTCAGTGGAAACAACAGAATTATTTTAAAACGAAAAGACAGTTAAGATTTGATTTCACGTATAGTGCGTCTGTGTATCCGCTTATACGTATTTCACCCTAAAAGGGATCTTCGGAGCGGCTATTCACAGTCGCTCGGACCGTGAAAATAAAGCTTTCCTGTATTAGTAGAAGCAACTCTAACATGGCTTCGTATGGACGCAAATAGCGATATCTGATAATTAAATTGGTTTCGAAAAATTAGTTTACGGATTTAGAATTATTTTAATAAAAGTAAAGGTGCCTCTTTACCCAAATAAAAGTAACGGAAATACTTTTTACAGATACTTTAGTTATTAACAGTCCATTTTATCGGTTAATATATTGCAAAAAGTTCTGCAGAATATACGAAGCAGTGCTGATTTAAAATTAGGGACTCTGCGTGGATCTTACTTAGGAGTCTGGATTACTGAAGATCTAAATCCGAAATCAGAAATTCGTTCAAGAATGCAGCAATCAAGAACAGAATTTTTGAAAATGAGGAATTTGAGTAACCGAAAACTCAATCTGCAAATCCGATATCGGATGGTAACATGTTCTATCCACGCTGTTCTTCTGGATGGTGGAGAAGATTAAATTGTTAATGTTGACTTAATGAGAAAACTGGAAGCTTTTGAGATGTGAATTTTTAAAGGAATTTTGAAATGCCATGGACCGATGTTGCACAGAATAGAAAGATACAAAGAACTTTTGGCCACCATTAGTAGAAGAAAGACAGCATATTTGGAAGACATACTTAGAAATAAAAAGTAGAATTGTTGCAGCTGATTATAAAGGAAAATCTGATAAGCTGAGCTGATAAAATCGTAGAAAAATCGTCCTGGTAGATGACAAATATCCTCGCTAAAAAACATTCGAGATTGTACCTGGTTAAGCAAACAAACGGTAGAAAAATGGGAAAATCCTCGCTTGAAATCAAAGCACTAGCCAGAAATAGAGTTCGCTGGAGACACTTTGTGGAAGCCCTATGTTCCTCTTAGGAATCTTGGGACTATATATATATATATATATATATATATATATATATATATATATATATATATATATATATATATATATATATATATATATATATATAAATATATATATATATATATATATATATATATATATATATATAAGCAAACAAACGATTTTAAGAGAAGCAGAAGATAAAGATGAATTTTCAGTGCAGTCGGCACTAGTAAAAGAAGTGGATCTAAATGTATACAGCACAAAAGACTTCATAACTTGACTTATGTGAATAGTATGCATAGATTATTAAATTTGGCAATCTCTTGGTGAAAAATAATTGAGTTATCACCATCAAAGTTGAAAAAGAAAACGTTGGCTGTGAAATAAGATATATTGAAATCAGATTGGAGTAATGTTGTTGCCATTGGAATTTTTAAATGTTAAGAAACATTGGGATATTCTACCGCTAGTAACAAAAGTTTTTATTATATTACAATTTGCCAACTAAATTAGAAACACAGATGTTACAAATTGGTTTTAGTAGTTTAGTTTGGTTGTTAGATAAGCATTTTAGAATGAACTTTTCAGCTAAGGATAGCCGTCTTAAATGTGAGTGAGATTCCATAGATTCAGCTGAGAGATTCATAAAAAAAATTACCATAGAAAATAGATCTAACATAATGTATGCACGATAAAATATTGAATTAATCTTAGAGTCAACATCTCATCGGGAGCGATGAACTAGAAGAAGAAACAGAATTAGGCCATCTACGTAGCATTTTTAAAAGTCTACATGCGCAAACCATCTGATAATAAATAATACAGGTTACTAAAATAAAAAAAAAAACAAAGGAGAAAACATTAAACATAACCTTAAGATAATTGATAATTGTTAATGAATTATTTCACTTAACAGAAAATAATGCATCATGTTCATTCATTATTATAATCATTGGATTTATATAAAACCTTGTATTCACAATAGAAGACAACACATGTATGGCTTTAACCTCCGTATAGTCCATACGTAGTTTGTTTTCTTTTGTAAATATCTGTGGATTAACGTATGTGAAATATATGTGAAAACTGTGGGGTTTCCTTGGAAATTTGCGTAAAAATTGAATTTTCTGGTGTAAAGAAAATCTTTTGAAAAAAAAAGTCTCCCTTATGCAATATTACGAATTGATAGACGAGTATTGATTCTATTTATGAATCAATTTGACATAAGGGCTACTGGTACCCTGAGGTGTTAATTATGACGCTAAACACATATTGTTAATAGGTTATTGTTCTTGACTTTCTCCTTCATGCCACTTCAAACTTTGCTAGTTTTCACGATAAGAAACCTGCAAAAACAAGGCATACCGGGCGATTGTAAAAAGGAAAAATTTTGGAGAAGTTGCGCAAAATTAGGGAAATTAGATTTTCAGAAAAACGGACCCTGGTTTCCTTTCTTTTTCTTTCCTTTTTTTTTCGTAGCTCATATGACATTTTCATGCGAGACATGCGGTTGAACCTCGCATTAAACTCCGACAGTTTGCAACGGTTATTGTTGTCATTCGATGCATAAAATATATGTATATACATTTTGTCTACATGTTCTCATAAACCGCATTTCGCTATCCTATTAATTTCCTTGTCACATCAAGCATCATAATGTTGACAACCATAAAATTATCTTGCAGTAAATCATCTGTAAAACATAATGGTCTTGCTGATTTTCTTCTAACGCCAATTATTACAAGCATTAGACCATTCCTACATTACGTATGTATTTGTATAAATGTAAATAAAATCATATAGTATCATATCAAAATAAATATAGTATCTATAGTTTTATTTTCTGCATATATATTAAAATCGCAAGCAAAAATCAATACAGAGATATGTTTTTGATTAGTAACGCGCAATATCATAATTGCTGATAAAAAAAAAAAATATATAAATAAACGTGTATAAATATTCGCCGCAACCCCCTCTGTGGCGCAGTGGTAAGAGCGCCTGCCTTTAAACCTAAAGGTCGTGAGTTCGAATCCCACCTGGGTGGAAATTTTCGTTTATTAAAAAAAATTAATAAATGAAAATAATTTCTATCCTTGTGTGATCGGTACACACCGGAGGGACCGCAGACGTTCGGATACAATTAGCGTCTCTTAGCAAAGACAATGACGTCGACTTTGCTAAGTATCAAGACAATTACTCTACACACACACTACACACTACACTGGGTACCGGACTGTAAAAATTCACTGTACCATGCCAATGACCATTAGTTGTCGACGCATTAAACTCAATAAAAAAAAAAATATTCGCCGCAAAATCTAATACCCGGCTTGGTGTTACATATTCAGTGTAAATTAATATATTATGGTTATGTTTATATATTTTAAGTTGTTAAATATACTTATTACAATATATCTTACCTACAATCCTATTAATCAATAAAAACAAACTAACTTCTAGTTATTATCTAATCAGAGGAATTTAATTACACTGAAACGTAGCTTTGTAAATACACATCACCGTGAAACAACGACTTTTATCATAGTAGGTAGATAACTGATCTTCTGTGAGAACTTCATATCATTTATAAAAATAACCTTCGGCACAAGGTAAACACGAATAGGAATGGACCCCGCACAAAACGTCTGGTATTATGATTACTACCAAAAACTCTTACGCAATAGTGACTCATATAATTAGATTGTGATTTTAAAAACCACAAGTCACGTTCAACCCCTAGATATTGTTCTAATATTGTTTCTTTGTAAGATATGGTCTGACGATGATTTATTTTCATGGAGGTGTTTTTGGGAATAAACCACAAATTTTGAATATTTTTTGTTTTGGCACTTCGACATCAAAATTTAAAGTTGTTTTCAAAGTAAAATTTTTGATTAAACACACTATTTTACTTTGATATGTAGCAAACTAATTTAATCTCATGTATTAATCCCGTCTATCGCATGCATATATCCTACATAACAATCAGATCATTCCCAGGGGCGATATGCGGATCAGATCATGCTCTCCTCGTAGCTAAAGTAAAGCACCCTACAAAGAAAGGGCAGAGGAATGTGACTAAGAGAGAAGGGCGACCTTCTCCAAAATTTACAAAAATGTATGCTCTATATTTGTAAGGGTATATCACAAGAAATATTGGAGTTTATTAAATATTGAGTAACAACACCAATTAATTGCCTAAAGCTAATTATTCTGTAAAACAGGGCTAGAAGGTGTAACCCTTCAAATTATTGAGAATAAAAGAAATCTTTGTCGAAGTGGTGTACATGGTGAAAGATAAAAAGCTAGTTTAAGAAACGATAACATAAAAATCAGGTTACTATGATAGTATATCTTCCTATACTGTTGTAGGGAGTTAAATAATGGAGTCTCATAGACGCTACCTGCCAGAACATTGAGTCTTTCGAAATGTGGCTTTATAGTCAAATCATAAAGATAACCTACACTGTCATAAATTTTGTATCATCGCTAGCTTCCTTTCTTCTGTAATTCCTCTTGGTTTTGAAATGCTGACAGGTTCTTTAAAGCCAAACTTGGTTAATTTTAATTTTAAATTCTTTTGTTTCATTAGAAACAAAACTTGTTTTATATAATAAATTAAAGATACCTCGCTTAGCAACAACTTTAACTTTAACCTACAGAAGATGCCAACCCCTAGTGTTGGCGAAACGTCGAGAACTAATCTCAGAAGACAACGGCCCAACAACTTTACCCATGTCTTTCAAGTAGAGTCGGGGTGTTGTATGATTTATTTTGTAAATTGATGAGTTATCAGGCCAAACAAAGAAATCTTCCAGCTTCATTTCTTTCGCCTCAACCTTTCTGGAATTAGCTAACTGAACGCAAAACTCCAAATCAACGATCTCATGAGCCATCACCATCAGCGATCCTGATGGTGAAAACTGTCAGCTGACATACAGGAATGACCTGTTTCAAAATATATAAGGGTAATTTTCTGTGCTGCAATTATATTAGAATTGATAATGTATATTAAGTATGAGAACAGTGTCCAATTCTTGTTTTGGCCTGCACAGTTGTCAAGCTAAATGATTATATGTTCTACATCACCCATGTGCAACATAAATGCGTAAAATGTACTTATCAAGTCTTCTTTTTTCCTTTATGATAGGCACTCATGTCAGAGGCACGCAAAGGATTTGATTTTCTGTTTCCTTCCGACGGCCACAAATGTTTCGTTAAAAACTATAATTCTTTGACAAAACACATCTTTGTGAACATATCGATTCTGGGCAACATAATCACCTTCTAGTAGTCAGCTGAAACACAAACTGTGCTTGATGGAAAATCATACTCTGCATCAACTCTATACTTTACACATTCAACCTTAAATTTTGTATGTGTTCTTTTCAGAAGCTACAGTTACTTCAGTCCTTCGGTAATGACTGTTGGGTATATTCGAGATTGTGAAGCTTAAAACTCTCGCATAATTCGCACTCCTTAGTTATTCATACTTCGAATGGTGATATCACTTGGAAGATAACTCTTGCGAGAAACATGTTCTCTGCGATAATGGGACACAGAAGGGTTAAAAGATTCAACATATTTTTGTATTAATTCCCTGTCTACAACAAGTTGTTTTGTATTTTTCTATTATCTGACAGTGTTTTGATATGCCAATTTAAGTTTTATAGAGATCCTCGAATCTTTGGCAGATCGGCTATATATAAGCTCTTTACTAATATCTGATAGATCTCCTATTTTTCCGTTGTAAACACCGTGTGCTTTTTAATCAAAGCTATATCGAACCTTCTCTAAGCAACAGTAAATTACGCCTAATATGCTGAAGATCCGTCTGCAAGAGTTTAGTGGTTTTGAAGGATCTGTCCACGTCTATAATGTGCCTAGAAATTCGAAGACCTTAATGCTCTGTAGGTGAACTTGTCGATCGTATAGTCTAATATTTGTACGTCATGGGTCATTTTGAGATCGACTAAATTTAAGTATTCTTTCTTCCACAAGTCCTCAGTAGTCATCACTACCTCAGTAGTCTATCTTTTTTATACCTGTTGGCACAGTTTGCCCATAAGGACACTGCGCTAAATGTTTTTTTATCGAACTTATAATTCTTACTTCGGAAGAAGCATTAACTACGTCTACTTGAATTTTGTTGATGATCAGGTTTGCTTAAGCCTGATCTAGTTGAATATCATGATGGTGTATGTGTCATCATCCTAAATACTTTTGTGATATTGTTAGATGACTTACTCAGGTCCTAGGGTTTTTTAGCGACTCTTTGTTGCAGAAAAGTAATGGTATTTGCCTAAGGTATCTTTTTATCTTTGGAGGTTTGCCGGTACCCCTACATTGGTTTTATATGGATTTCTTGTGATCTATGTCCCAGAAGTACTTTTCTTCATATTCTTATGTAGGGCTCCAGAGAGGCGTTTTTTGATGACTGACTCAGAGTTTCTTAGGGTGCGTTCATAACGGAGACCACGGCATCGTATCCTTGCCAAGAGCATAGCACTGACGGTGAGCTCTGGCATTTAAAAGAATGCATTTATTTTACCGAAAAAGATGATATCATCACATGGTCCGAGCGAGGGTCGGCGCCTGGTTATGAATGCACGCTTACTCTCGAAACATCTTCTGGCTCCGTATTTTGGGAAGGAGATAGAACCCGCTAATGGAGTCGCATCTCTGATCGTTCCCGCTGTGTTTATATTTATAAGTTACTAATTTCTGAACGTTTTTCTGAAATACTTTTTATTTTAATCCCGCCATCCTTTTGTTCCTATGAGTTGTGTCAGGCGCAGCAGTGTATCCTTACCGTGTTTCTTATATATCCCCAGATTTTATCAGCTCCCTAGGGTACCGCTTAAGGCAAGAAACATGAATAAAATGACTTCGTCTATAATTATTTTGAGTGTGTAAATGCATGCTGTGAATCACCTAAAAATGTTCAATATGACCCATAATACAAATGTATACTTTTTACAAATATGGATAATCACTTCTGAACAAAATATAAAAGTTTAAAAAATACCTTTCATCATTTATCCATTACAATGTACTTGTCTTAAATTGTCGACAAATTCATACTCTTCAAAACGTAAATTTTGAGATATGCCTTTAAATTTGCGCGTCGATGGAAAAAAATTATATTTTGTACTGAGGGTCAAAAAGTATTTGCTTGATTAAGAGGATTTAGAGCAAAGTCCTCTAAATCGCATATATTTAATTTGAAAAAATATTTTTAGAATGGAATTTTTTTATCAACAAACTTTTAAGATGAGTGATAATCATAATTAAATTCCCCTTAAAATATATCGGTAATGTACTTTATTTACTCTTGATTGATAGATATTGAAAGTTTATACTCATGGTCATCAAAATATTTTGTTATTAAATTATATCAGCTTAATGTACCTTACTACAATCTGGTCTTTCATGGTCAATTACAATTTTAATTTTACTTCACCTACGATAATAAACAAAATCAGTTAAACTCATTAGCGTACTCAGTATCCCAGAACAATTTAGTATGACGTATACACCCCACTTTTATTCCGCTTTTTCTTCTTCTTCAGTGCTTTATCCGGTCCGGATGTTGGCGATCATCAAGGCTATCATGGTTTTGTTGACTGCTCTGCGAGACAGCTTCGCGGAGGTCATCCCAAACCATTGTAGGAGGTTTTTTTAACCACAAGATACGACACAGTCCCAGTCATCTCTTGCCAAATACTTTACGCTGCATGAGTTGAAGAATTCGATATTTTTCTTCGTTCCGCATCACGTGCCCGAGCTACTCAAGCTTACGTTGTTTCACTAAAATTACCACTTCTTTTTCTTTTCTCGTGCGCTGTAGGACCTCAACGTTGATGACGTGGTTCACATACGATATTTTTAGTATCCTTCGGTAGATCCACATCTCGAATGCTTCAATCCGCTTTTCTGTAGCTTGCGTCAGTGTCCACGCTTCAACTCCATATAGTAACACTAAAAAAATGTAGCACCTCGCTATCTGCATCTTGGTTCCCAAACTGAGATCACTGTAGCACAGCAAGGATCTCAACTTGATAAATGTAGACTGTGCCATTTCAATTCTGGATCTAATCTCTTGAGCGTAGTCCCATTGTGAGTTGAGGGTAGTTCCGAGGTAAGTGAATTTAGTTTTCTTAATATTAAAGTCTACTCCGTATGTTACGCTCACAGTTTTCACTCGGTCTAATAAGGCTTGTAGATCATTTAGGCTGGTTGCTATAAACACAGTGTCATCGGCGTAGCGGATATTATTGATGTATTCACCGTTCACTCGGATTCCCATCTCTAGGTTTGTGAGGGCATCAGTAAAAATTTCCTCAGAGTATATATTGAAAAGAGTCGGCGAGAGCACACAGCCTTGCCTTACTCCTCGCATGATCTTCACTTGGTCGGTCAGCTGGTCTTCAACTTAACTTGAACACGCTGGTTCCAGTATAAATTCGTGATGATCTGAATGTCCTTCTCATCCAATCCTACTCTTTGTAGGGATGCGAACATATTCTGGTGCTGAAAACGGTCAAATGCCTTGGTGTAGTCAATAACACAAGTATATACATCACTACTGACTTCGCGGCATTTCTGAAATAGGACTTGTAAGGTGAAAAGTGCTTCACGTGTACC